CCATCACCCTGACTCAGTCACACTTGGTGCGCCAGGTCCTTCAGAGGTTCAGCCTTCAGTTCTCCTCTGCACAGCCCACCCCTCTGCCTGTAGACCACAGACTCTCCGCTCCAATGTCTGAGGAGTTGGTAGAGCCCAGTGGCCCCTACGCAGAGCTGGTGGGTTGCCTCATGTACCTGATGACTTGCACTCGCCCAGATCTCGCATACCCTCTCAGCATCCTGGCTCGCTTTTTGGCCACAGGCAGACACCGACCGCAGCACTGGTCTGCCGCTAAGAGGGTTCTGTGTTATCTTGCTAGTACATCGGGCATGGGTTAGTGCTGGGAGGACGCAGGCCAGTGGTCCTTACTGGACACACAGACGCTTCGTGGGCAGACGACGCTGAGACACTCAGGTCTACCCAGGGCTACTGCTTCAGCCTTGGCTCAGCTGCCGTCTCGTGGAGAGCTACCCGCTCCTCGTCTGTTGCGCAGTCCAGCTGTGAGGCTGAGATCTACGCTGGTGCCATGGCGGCATAGGAGCTCCGCTGGCTGACCTTCTTGCTCACTGACTTAGGTGAGCGGCCTAGCTCGGCCCCGGTCCTGTTTGCTGACAACAGGGCCATGATCCTCCTGTGCCAGGAGCCTCGACTCGAGGGCAGAGCGAAGCACATTCAACTGCGGTACTTCCTCCTGCGTGAGCTACAGCAGCGACGTCAGGCTCGCGTAGTACACTTGGCCTCAGGTGCCAACACGGCTGATATCTTTACGAAGGCGCTTGCGCCTAAAGATCATCAGCGGCACTGTGCACAGCTTGGTCTAGTTCTTGTAGCCTCTCACTTGCTAGGACCTTGACTTTGTACTGTCCTTTATATATATACTCAGACTGGACTTGTGTCCTCTCCCAGTGGCTGGACTAGTAGTGCCGCCCAGCTCTTGTTCTTGCCTTGTCTGTACTCCTTCTGACTGGTCTCTTAGACCCTTGTCTCAGAGGTTGGACTAGTAGTGCCGCCCTGAGCTGTTGGTTTAGGACATTCCCCTATCAGTCTAGGGGGTGTGTCAAACATGTGTATTTGTCATGTTTGTATAGACTGTATAGGTTCACCTCTTAGAGGGTACAATACTTAGGTATATCTGTGTGTACTCTCACTCTATCATTAATTTCTCTAATTCTGATACTATTTGCTGACGTCATTCTACGGACTTATGCTCTACAGTAAGATTCGACACTATCTACAACTAATCGACTTACAGAAATGCTAAGTATCAATTATATCACAACACTCCCCTTTATTTCTGGAACGTCGATAGTGTCACTTTATGAAGATCCCGCAAAGTTTGTTACAGTACTGGAACTTCTGTCGTGTCAGCTTCTTCGTGAGAAAATCGGCAGCCATTTCGTTGGTCGAACAGTAAACCAATCGCATCCTCCCCTTCTCGACTTCATCATTGACGAAAAAGTAACGTAGAGAAATATGTTTCGTCCTGTTGACGAAACCAGGCTGAAGCGCGATGCGAATTGCACTTTGATTGTCGCACTGTAGGGTAAACTGGGTAGTTGTCGTCAACTTCGCTTCTTCCAATAGTTCCTGTAGATAGAGTCCTTCGCGTGTTGCTGTGCATACAGCAATAAACTCAGCTTCAGCAGAAGAGAGAGCAATCAATTCCTGCTTCGTCGAATTCCCAGAGATAGGTCCGATAGGTTCCAGACGATAGATGAATCTAGTGCGCGACCGTCGATTAGTAGAGTCAACAGCGTGATCAGCGTCGACAAAACCGTATAGGTATAGTGTTTTGCAACCGATAACGTTGTAGACTAAACCGACGTCAGGTGTTGAGATGAAATACTGAAGCGCGGGGAGAAGATCAAGCTGATGTTCTTCTTCGGGGCGGCGAAGAAACTGAGCGAGCTGACTGGCCGCGAAAGCTAGATCGGGACGACATGTGATAGTTGCGAAGAGTAGACAGCCTAACTGCTGTTGATAGATCTGTAAACTGATTGAGTTTAACAGTGCAGTGTTCGGTTTGTGGTCAGTCGGAAGTGACCGGTACGGTGTAGAGACTGTAGTCGGTGTGAGGTTGAAGCGGGCAGCAAGCGTTGCTGCGTACTTCGAAGCGGTGAGATGAATAGTCGTCGGTGAACAGGTAATGTTTAGATCAAGAAACTGTGAGACTGTTTCAGTGACGGTAAGCTGTAGAGTTTTCTGTGGTTTCAGTATGAAGATATCAGCAAGAGAATCGGTAGTACTGACGAAGAGGATGTCGTCGACGTAGGCGACAAGTAGAATATAGTTGCTGCCACCGGTTAGTAGATACATTCCCTGGTCATGCGGTAACTGACGAAATCCGGCAGTGATCAACTGCGTGTGTAGGTACTGTTGCCAGAGTCGTGGTGCCTGTTTAATGCCGTACATGGATTTTCGTAGACGGCATACGCTCGGTGGGTTAGTAGCATAGGAATGTGGGTACTCTACCAGGATGAGTGCGTCGACGAGCGCGTAGAGAAACGCATTTGATACAGTATGTCGATTTGTCGAAGGCGAAGATTACGGCAGGCGGCGACACAGAGTAAAATCCGAACGCTTGTATGTCGTCCGACAGGAGCAAAAGTTGGTTCATAGTCGATGCCGTAAGTCTACTCGAATCCACGAACAACCCATCGCGCCTTGAATTTCTCAAACGACCCATCTGCATTAGTCTTGACGCGGAAGACCCATTTTCCGATAAGTACCTTCTTTCCTTTTACTTCTGAAGTCAGTATTAAATCCCATGTTCCGCGACTCTTGAGAGCTGCTAGCTCTCTGTCCATGGCTTCGCGCCATTTCTCTCAGTGAGAACTCATAAGAGCTTGTCGAACGGTTGTCGGTTCAGGTATCTTACTGTTGTTGCACTGTACTGCGACTGCGAATCCCAGTATCTGTAATCCTGTTTCTGTAAAACGCGGACGTTCTTCGTTTGCACCTGCGAAATTTTCTTCTGGTCCTTCTTCCCCCCCAATTTTGTCAGGTGTAACACGAACTGCTTCGTCGGAGACGACGGGCATCGGCTGCTGTTGGCGATCGCGTTCGTAACTGAGGTGAACTTCGCGAACATCATCTTGATCAGCATCTGCAAGAGGAATGAATTCAGGTATGCCAGTCGAAGTGACATGTTCGGGAATGTCTGTTGCAGTAGCTTCGGAAGCTTCAGAAACATCTTCGTCCTGTACATCAGCTTCGGCTTTGTCAGTTGCAAACGCACGCGAGCCTTGGAACAGCCTGGCGGGGTTGGCAGCTGCTGACTGGTGGGCACGAAAAACGGGCAAGGTGAGCCTTTCATAGAAAAGACAATCACGTGATGGGACGATTTGGTTGGAGCGGAGGTCCAAAATCTTCCACGTGTGATACTGTTTTTCGATGCCGAGATGTAATCCCCATTTTGCCCTTTCTGAAAATTTGCCAAGTGCTGCAGTTGGAGGACGAAATTGCACGACACACCCGAAAACTCGTAAAATTTTGGTGCTTCCCACTGTACGTGTCCACTGCAGGTGCGGAGAGGAAAACTCGGGCAGGGACGTTGAAGAAAGAAGATTGTGTAACAGCACGGCGTGGTCCATCGCATACGGCCAAAAATGCGGTGGAAGGGCTGCCTGTGTCAGCAGAGCACGCATATTCTCCTGCAGAGTTCTGTTCATCCTTTCTGCTACCCCCATTTGTTGATGTGCATGCGGCAGTGCCTGCTTCCGTTTGATGCCGAGTATCTGAAGGTATTCTGTGAAAGTGTTGCTGGTGTACTCCCCTGCACCATCACTCTGAAATTCTTGCAGTTTCACGCCTGACTCTCGTTCAGCTACAGCGAGCCACGCGACGAAGATGGAGTGAGCGAGATGGCGCGCAGGAAGGTTTGCTGTGCAGACATAGCGTGTAGATGCTTCGATGAATGTTATGACGTACTTCTCGTCTTTAGGTCCTTTCTCAGGTAAGTTTAGTATGTCGCTGTAGACTTTCTGCATCAGTTTATAACGTGTTGATCCAGGAAAATGACTGGGAAACGGATCATGCGTAAGATTGGCAACCGGACACGTGGTGCAAACCGTGGGACGGGACTGCGGCTTCATCTCCGTGCCATCAGGTAATAGAAGACTGTTTTTATCCAGAACTGCTGCTCGTATTGAATGATTAAGAATCCCCTGTGATGGATGTCCTAACCGTTGATGCCATATATCTTCTGGTGCTTTGTGTCCTTATGATAGCAGGTAGAAATCGGCGTTAGTATAGAAAGAAGAAATGATAAAAGGAGATAGCACTGGTGATCGGTCAGCATCTCCTTCAACGAAATGTGTAAGTGACAATGAAACAGCTGAAGGTGCGGCTGTAGGTGTGATTGCAACTTCTGATACTGCTTCTGTTGATGTTGTGGCAGGCGTTTCGGCAACAGCTACTGTTGAATACGGCTGCTCAGCGACCTCTTCCTTTTCGGCTTCTTCAACGACGTCAGGTTCATCAGCTGCAAGACCACTTACAGCGACGGAAAGAATTGTCCACATGTTTGGCAATTTTTTGAATTTCCACCGTTAAAGGGCATTTGAACATTAAGCCTTAATTGGAGGCATTGCCCACTATATGCAGGCCAATCTAGGGAGACATAAAAATGCTACACATTTGCTGAAACTACTATCGTTAACAGTAAACAGCAAACATAACCAAACACGGTGCATGTGGACAATTATTTCCAGGCGGAAGCAGCAACTTGAAAAAGCCTTAAACTAGTACCTGGTCCACCGCCCTTTAGCCCTAATCACTGCTTTCACCCTCCTGGGCATGCTGTCGATCAAATTGGAGCACACCTCTGATGGGATCTTCTCCCACTCCTCTTGTACACGCTCCCACAGGTCAACCATACCAGAGGGAGGTGTCTCATGCTTTCCTAGCTCCCTTTTAAGATGAGCCCACAGATGCTCAATGGGGTTCAGATCAGGACTTCCTGCCGGCCACTCCAGGACCCCATACTCCTGCTCCTGAAGCCACTGCTGCACCACACGGGACTTATGCTTGGGGTCGTTATCATGCTGGAAGATCACAGCCGAGGGGGTTAGCTTGTAAAAGTCGATGGTTTTTTTCAGCTCATCTTGCAAAATGCTCAGATACAGCGGCCCGTCCATCCGACCATCGATTTTGCACATGAAACCCGCCCCCTCAAACGTCATACATCCCCAGAGCATCAAGCCGCCGCCCCCGTGTTTGACGGTTTGCTTGATCTGGTGGTGTTGGAGAGTCGTACCTTCACGAACCCAGGCGTACGCGCGGCCGTCAGAGCCGAACCTACTAATCCTCGTCTCATCCGACCATATGACCCGTCGCCAATCATCTATGGTCCAATCCGCGTGGGCCCGTGCGAACGCCAGCCTATCGCGGATATTTTTCTTGGAGAGTTGCGGCTTCTTAGGCTGCTGAACTGTGATAAGGCCGCTGGATTTGAGCGCATTACGCACCGTCCTAGGATGCACCGTAATGCCGTGCTGGGATTCGACGATTTGGGCCGCATGCCTCGAGGTTTTCGCCTCGCCGCTAGTGATCGCCCTGACGATCCCACGACGAATTCTACTCGTCAGTACGCGTGGACGACCAGCAGTGGGCATTGTAGGACGTACGTCCTCGGGACTAGTCTCTGAAATTGCCTTGAGCCCGACATCATGTACTGTACTTTTCCCAACGCCAACCTGTTTCGCGATTTGCCTCGTGCTGAACCCCCTACGCAACAGGGCCACGATCCGGGCGCAACGAGCCTCATCTATCGGTCTCATCTTGGCGTAGTCTACGCCTCGGGTATAAACTCTATTCTGACTACTCGACGATTGCGTTAGGAACTATGGAGAGAATGCGCTAGTCGAAAACGGATCTAGTCCGCTGCTTGGCCAAAACTGTCCGGATGCACTCACGTGACTGAAATCTTGTCCACGCTATTAGTGCGACCCATTCAAATTGCAATCGTGTTACCCTATTGTAACTGGCACGCGTAACTTACTAGTCAGCAATGAACATTCAACGATACATCGGGTGAAAGCATTCAAATCATGTGTTGAACCTAAAATTGGACTTTATCCGGGCAATACTTTCCGTCGCTGTATTTCCCCCCAAAGTGGTGCTGGAGTTCCTTGGAAGGCTGCACGGGTATTATAAAACGTTCGCCACGCGGTGGCGCTTTTATCGGCGGTATTGAACTCCCAGGTATCCAACGCGGTAAGTACGGCGGCTGCAGTTCGAGAAGTCGTTGGTACAGTAGTTGCTCGAAAGTCAATATCCACGTGTTGATAATTTGTTTCTTCTGGGTGATCCCAGGGACCAAGTGCAAGGACGCGTTCAGAATCACCAGAAGTTCCCTGTGCTGCGAACTGAAGAACGGACACGCCATGTTGAGTGGCAGCACGACCAAGGTAAGTATTCGTTGAACTGTGCCAGAGCTCCTGATCCATCATCTCACAATTGCCCTGTGTTCGGATCTTGTGTGCCAGAAGCTAAGCCGTGGAAAGAAGATTGAATCCAAGGCCAGCGACAATAAGAACATTGGTAACATGTAGTGAGTATCCCGTGTCGATAGATTCGAGCATGACACTCCCAACTGCTCGTGCCATAATGGTTTGTCCGTTTGTGACTGCTACAGGTATCGGACGACGAAGTGGACGCTGATTGGTAATGAAGCTGGTTTCTGCGGAACACATGTGCCAACCGCAGCAGCTGTCGAGATACCAAGTATTCGGACCTGAAATTATTCGAGCAAGGTTAGCATAAACTTGAGGTAAGGGAATTCCTTCCGCACTTGTGGTTTCTTCAAGTCGTGTCTCAAAATCTGTTTCTGAAACATCAACTGTTGTAACACATCCGAAAACTCCTTTTCCTGATGTGGCAGATGCGAAGACCGGCAGGCGATGCTGAGACGTCGACGGATTCTGCGGAGATTTCGGCATCTGCTGCTGCTGAGACGTTAACTGCTGCTGTGGTTGTTGTGTCTTCGGTAACTGCTGCGATCGGTGATACGGCTGTGAAGTGCTGCGACGATTTTGATGACGGCTGCGACAGTTTTGGTAAGTATGTCCTGGTTTCTTACATAAATGGCAGAATGGATACTTTGGTGGATGTCAATGCTGTGTTTCTGGATTGGAGTAAAAACTCAAGTGTAGTCCCTTTTTCTGATTGCGTTGTGACTGCAGGTCAATATCTTGCTGCTCTGCTTGAAGATAAGAAGAAATTTCGGCTTCGGAGAGGTTGGGGTTCATGCGGAGGAAGGCGCGCGTCTGTCGCCATTCGGGTCCAAGACCAGCAAGAAGGACCGTGAGATACATCTCACGAGGGAAGTATCCTCCGCTCTTTTCCAGTTGATCGCGTAGACGTAAACTCGCCAGTGAAGAACGGCCATAGCCCAGTGGACTGCGCCAGAAGCTCAAACTCAAAGCTCCAGGAGTAAAAGTCAACACCATTAAAAGGTACGGTCGTCTTGATCTGAGTATTGTTAAGTAAATTTGGAGGCGGAAAAATAATGCCTGGATGTTGCTGTTGTTGCTGTTGCTGTTGCTGTTGCTGCTGTTGCTGTTGTTGTTGTTGCTGTTGCTGTTGTTGCTGCTGCTGTTGTTGTTGTTGAGCAGGGGAACGACCGAAGACATAAAAAGGATGCTGAAACTGCTGCGACTGCGGCTGCTGTACGAAAGGTGAGAAAGCGAACGAACCAGTACTTGGAGTTGTAGCTCCACGCATGTAACTTGAGCCGTCAAGGCTCATTCCACTGAACGCAGATGAAATTGATTGCGTTGAAACTGGTGGCTGTACTGATGCTTGTTGCTGTGCTGTCGTCTGTGATTGTTGTTGTTGCGCTGCAGGTGCAGTCGATGGAGCACCTGGAGTATTAACAGAAGATGGATTCTGCTGTTGCATACCGATATTAGCATAGGCTGGTGGGAATGGCCCAGAGGCTGAGAGACCAGCGGCAGTAGTGGAGACATGTACTCCAGTAGTTCCGATAACTAATCCGGCAGATGGTGCTAGTGATGAACCAGTCATAGTTGACTGTAGTCTTAATTCCAGATAGCTCTCATACCATGAAATAAATCGTATGGTGTTGTAGTAGACTAAGTATAAAACTGCAAACACGAACACTTGGAAAACCCTCAAGTGTTGGTCCAGTATCTTTACTGGAATGGTAGACTAGTAAGATAGCGGAAGTCTTGTAAAATGTAAAGGTCGAGGTTGAATAACCTGAGTACGTGAACTTGTGGATAATCAAAGTTAATAATGAAAAGACCTAACAAGGATTTTATAGTTCTAGGAAAAGTACCTATTCGCTGATGTACCTGTTCATCACTATCGCGCTATGCGCTCTAAACGATATTGAAGAGGTGCGACTGTTCGCATGACTGAAACGACTGTCCTATGATGAGCACTATTTGCTGACGTCATTCTACAGACTTATGCTCTACAGTAAGATTCGACACTATCTACAACTAATCGACTTACAGAAATGCTAAGTTTCAATTATATGACGACACCTATTTGGTGATGTATCTGTTCGAGCTATTTGCGCTATGCGCTCTAACCGCTACTGAAAAGAGCGCGACTATTCGCGTGACAGAAACGACTTGCTGACGTAATCATCCAGACGAATGCTATTTGCCAACGTCGAACACGCGAACGAAAGAGGTCGAATCTACTACGTTAGGTCTCGCGGAAGGTCTTGATTGTCGATATGACGGACGGCGAGTCGGATGTCCGTGAGGTGGTCGACGATCTCGAGGCGCAGGAGGCTGCCTTGATATCCCGCTATGAAGACCTCCCAGAGAAGGAGCTCAACTTCATGCTGATGGGGTTACGAGCTCAATGGGAGATGGATCATCCACGGGCACGTGCAGTGGAAGTCTCCCGAGATAAGGAGAATGTGGAAGGTTTGGCAGAAGCCGGAGTGTGAGAGTCGCGCGGTGTTCTACGAGAAGGAGAAGCGCCGAATGGTGAAGGATCAAGCGTGGGCGACGGAAGGGACCCTGCAAGGAAGTCAAGCTTGAAGAATAAAAGTGCTGCTGAAGAAGGCCGTTCTGGCGGTCGTGACGGCGCAGACAACGCTGCCGACGGCTCTACTGCCTTTGTACCGACAGCCTCGAAGGATGGAGGGATTGCTCCTGAATTCGGCTACTTCAAGTTTTCTCCTGACAAAATCATAGTGCCAAGGCTCCTTGAGGGACGACACGACTTGGCGTCGTGGGTCGAGTCCATAGAACCTCAGCTGGAGATTGCGCAACTGAGGCGGTTTGTCGACGGGTCAATGCAAGCCCCTCCTGTTTCGGATTCATCACGGTACGGACAGTTTCGCTCTGCCAAGCTGCTGACATTCATGGTGATCTTGCGCTGCTGCTCGCCTTCTGTGAAGATGGCGTTGAAGGGTTGTCGTCTGCGAGTGGATGCGGGCTACCAAGCATGGCGATTCATCATGAAGACTTACAAGGCCACTGACGATCTCTACATCGGTCAGTTGAAGCAGAGTCTGGCAAGTTTGGAGATGGCAGAGTATGAGACTGCTACCGCCTACTGCACCCGTGCGCAGCAGATGCTGGCTATTCTTCGGATGACCGAAGTACGGTACTCGACGGCTTCCTACGTGACGCACGCCGTCAAGGGTCTGCCGTCGCAGTACAGCTATCTACGGCACATGATCAAGTTTCCGGATGTGCGGAAAACCCTCGACGAAAACACTCTGACGAGCTACATCGTTGAGGAAGAATCTACCCTTGCGATCGAGCAGTGCAAGGAGTCTCCTCTGCCACAATCCAACTGGGCGTCGACGGGACAACCACCTCGGCAGCAGCAGCAGCAGCAGCAGAGGTGATGGGCTTCTTCTACGAATGACTCCTCCGCAGAGCAGAAGGACAGGCGCAACGACAAGAAGAAATCGGCCAAGAAGAACAAGGATAGACCCTGCTTCGTCTGCGGTGAAATCGGTCACTTCGCTGCTCAGTGCCCAGATCGCAAAGGCAAGGGGAACGCTGATCATTCGCAGAAGCGGGAAAGTAATCCGCCCTCTGGCGCGCTGAGTGGTGGTTCTTCTGATCGAAAAGGACCCTCGTGTGCGATGGTTGAGCCGATCGTAGAACAGCAGAAGACGGACGATCTGCCCATCTCGTTGGATCCAGAGGATGGCGAAGACTTCCAGGCAATCGCAACTGCTGTGGAAGCCAGCCCTGCGGTCATTCTGCTGGATAGTGGATGTTCGCACCACCTCATGGGAGATGACAAGGCCTTCGTAGAAATGCGCAAGGACGGCGAAATCCAGCAAGTTCGCGGATTTAACGGCGCCATCCAAGCTGTTTGAGGACGAGGAACCATCGCTCTGCTTGGCGAGGCTGGGAAGAGGATTTTGGTCCCAGATGTACTCTACATCCCTGGAATCCAAGCCAATCTGCTTTCTGCCGATCAGCTGAAGGACTGCGGAGTGACGCTGTAGGACACTGGCGAGGAAACTATCCTGCTCTCTGCGGACGACGTTCTGCTCGGGCGAGCTCGATACAAAGAACTCCAAACGGCTTCTTATCAGATGATGAGAGCCTCCACAATTGTACGAAGCATTTTATATGCCTGATTTCATTCTGAAAAAAAAAAAAATGTTAAACAAAATGAACTAACAAGTTCAGGTTCCAATTTCTATGCACTCGATTTCTAACGTATATGCCAACTCGATTTCAGGTGCTCACCCTGAAAGTGTCAATCAGCACCACTGCATAATACAAAGGGACAAGGAGGAGATACGGTAAGGGGATTGAAAGAGACATGGGGTCAGGAAAAGAATACCAAGGAGTGTGATTGAGTGCACAGCAGTGACATGCTCCACTAATGCCTGCAGAGCAGGAAAATAGAATGGGAGCACGTGGGGAAATTGAATGGATGCTAGAAGGAAAAAGGGAAGACTCCTTGGAAGGGAAGCAAACGCTAGCCAGAGGTACTACATGGGATGGAAGGGAGGAAGAGAATAAGAGAAGGGGAGGGAGAAAAAGGGGAGTAAGGAGAAAATTATAGACTCAAATTGTGCTGACGCTAGCGATGACCTACGTGGTACCTAGGAATGAATGAAGGGATAGAAAGAGGAGTGGGAGGGGTTAAAAGGAAAGGGACACGCGAAAAAAGAATGTATGGCATGAGCAAAATGCCACAGCAGACGGCGCCAGCGCACACGTCACCAGCACGGACCGGGCCAGCGCGGACAGTGCCAACTCGCACGGCATGACATGCTATGCCCATACACGCATACAGCCTGGCATGCTATACCCATGCATGCATACAGCCTGGCATGCTATGCCCATACGCACACACACACAGCCTGGCATGCTATGCCCATACACACACACACACAGCCTAGCATGCTATGCCCATACATGCATACAGCCAGGCACGTTATGCACATACACGCATACAACTAGGCATGCTATGCCCATACACACACACAGCGAGGCATGCTATGCCCATGTACACATACAGTCAGGCATGCCATGCCCATACACACACACAGCCAGGCATGCCATGCCCATACACACACACCAGTCAATGTTGATAAGGTTGCGGCACATCACGTTGCCCACTACTGCTGGGTTGAAGCATTCACCTGAGGGGGTGAGGAGAGACACGGTAGGGACAGGCAGGGTAAGGAAAGGAGGAGGGTGTGGGGCGGAGAAAAGGCAAGGCACTGAGTGTCGCACCGAATCACATTGTTGGCTGCTGCAAGGTTTAAAGCATTGACCTGAGAGGGTGAGGTGAGACGCGGTAGGGGCAGGATCGGGGAAGGAGGGAGGCGTGGGGCGGAGAGAGGAGATAGGAGAGAGAGAGGAGAGAGGAGAGAGGAGAGAGGAGAGAGGAGAGAGGAGATAGGAGAGAGGAGATAGGAGAGAGGAGATAGGAGAGAGGAGATAGGAGATAGGAGAGAGGAGATAGGAGAGAGGAGAGAGGAGATAGGAGAGACGAGAGAGGAGAGAGGAGAGAGGAGAGAGGAGATAGGAGAGAGGAGATAGGAGAGAGGAGATAGGAGAGAGGAGAGGGAGGAGAGAGGAGAGAGCGCGCGGCACCAGCGCACACGGCGCCGGCGAGCACGGCAGCAGCCCCGGCGCGCACGGTGGCAGCACGCACGGCGCTAGCACGCACGGCGCCAGCGCACACGGAGCTAGCGCGCACGGCGCCAGCGCGCACCGGCCCAGCGCGCACGGCGCCAGCGCACGGCACCACTGTGCACGTCGGCCGTGCGCACGGTGCCACCGCGCACCGCGCTAGCGCGCACGGCAGCGCGCACCGGGCCAGCGCGCACGGCGCCAGAGCACACCGGACCATCGAGGACGGCGCCACCGCGGACAGCGCCAGCGCGCGCGGCGTCACCGCAGACGGCGCCAGCGCGCGCGGCGTCAGCGCGGATGACGCCAGCGCGCGCGGCACAAGGCGCACAGTGCCAGTGTGCAAGGCGGCAAAGCGCACTGTGCTTTTAGCACGCCAGCACGTCGCAGCGCCATAACGTGGCCGAGAGCGTGGGAGGGATGGGATGACAACTAGCAACCAGCAATACCTTTGTCCGCACGCGGAGGTGGGGTGCTAAACCACGATAACGGATCCTTGAGAGCAGGCGGGAAACTGAGCGAGGGAGTTGGAAACAACACTAGGAGGATGAAAGAGCTATGAAATATAACGTATCTCTATGATTGCTAGAGGAGCCAGTGAGAAGGGAACTGTGGTAGGGAAGAACTTCTTCG